GCGTGTGTCCAGGGGATTAATTGATTTAATTTCATCCAGGACGCCACTTCCGTTTCCAATTGTTCGAAACTCTACACGGGAAGCGACCACCGGTCACGAACTCACTTTCTTACATTCAGAAAGGATATAATTATGACAGAAGAATATGCGTCAATTCAAATCCATCATCGTAGTTGTGGGCGGTCTGCCTATCTATTGAACACACGGTTAGATTGAGATAGACTGCTTTGTTGGATTCGAATCCCGGATTGGGCCATAATCAGTTATTGGGACTTCCTGTCAAGAAATGTAAACATCAACACGTTTAATTCTTGGAAGCAGCTCTGAGTCAGAAAGTTGGCCGTGTTTCACCCCCTTGCCACGGAAAACACGTAAAGCCTTAGGTACTGCGCCTGATCTCTCTCCGGTCATATCGGGTAAGCGTCCTATCGGACTATTAGAGTGAGGGATTGGGAGTGTATCTGTAAAGTTAGTTACAGCCTATATACCTACGTCCCACTGCTGAGCACAGGCCTCCCCTCATTTTTGAGAGAGTTTTAGGGCAAGGAAGTGTCCGCCGCGCTGCCCTAATGCGTGTTTGCAAACTTCTCATGTCCTCGTAATTTTTTTCTGATTCCTCAGACATGCAGGTACCTCACGATGTTTTCCTTCACCGTCGAGCACGTGGTAAATCAGCACTTAAAATTGCAATTAAACAATTTCATTGGTGCCGGCGGGGATCGAACCCGGGTTACTCGCGTTCTGTTATATTTACAGCGAGCGCTAACCATCTGAGCTACCACGGCTCTGTGTATCTGTGCTTGCGCATTAGCATTACTCCACTACTACTCGTATAACCCTGGATAGTCTCAACGGAGACAGTTGTTTTTAAATGTTTTCGTATACATATTTACAATTATTGTTTAAAAATGCTCCCGCTGGGTTCAAGAAGAACATAAAAAATAAATGTATTTTATTTTATAAGTATTATTGTAAACTTAATTGGAAAACAAATCTATTTAACTATTTCAAACTTAATCTTCAAGAAACGTGTGAAATTAGGTCATTAGCGAAAGTTTTTCGTGTCCCCTTTGTTGCAAAATTTGATTTTGCCGCCCTGCAGAGTAGAGCAGCTCGGACCTCCACGTGTTGGTGTTTACATCACGCGCCTGCTACCACTCACCATTTTGACAGGTCACACCAACGACACCACAATCAAAACACCACATAAACATCATTCGAGGCGTTGCAATATGAGCTTCATACACACAAAACAAAGTTTAAAATGTAGAGTTTATTTATTAATGTTTAATCCTCTTCGATTATAAAACGGTGCACTGTTTTCTCATACATTAAGGTAGTAAGTTCATAAACGGCACTATCCATTATGAATCTTATGTAAAAATACTCAGGTTGGTTTTCTAATTACCATATACTTATTTTAAAGCTAAAACGATATCAGACGCAAGTAATATAAGTAAGGAGCGCGTGATTCAAAGATCAAAGAGGTTTTTATCAATCCGCCGATCTGTTCGCTGAGTGCATCTTAATACTTTTTGAATTTTTACGAAAGCACTGAGTTATTTTATTGCCTTTTTAATAATAATTTAAAACAGATGATGAACTTGATGGAGTAATTTACAAACAAAAATGAACACAAATTAGGGTCGAAGATTTCAATTAAATATCATTATTATATGTTTAATTATTTATGGTTATATTTAGTAATAAATAAGAAATTTTATTTAAAAATATTATAAGTTTATAAGTTTTTTTTTTAAGTTATAAGATTTAAATTATTTAAAACTCTTAACTTTATGATAATTATATGTTGCGGCTAAAACACGAAGTGAAGACACTTCTAGGTATAGCTGGGTTCTTCATCTTAGTGCAGCCGAGGTGTTATCCATACACCATATACCTAGGTATACCCTCTTTTTTGTAATGATAATTTATAATTTATTTATTTATTTATTTTATTCTTTATTGCATCAAAGATTTTGTACAAAAGGCGAGCTTAATGCTATATGGCATTCTCTACCAGCCAGATTATATATGTAGCAATCTTTTTGTCCGTGTTTTCGGCAATGAATAACTGCTACAATAAAAGAAGGTAAATTTTGACACAGTGTAAACGATCGTAATAGCTCAAGTGGATATCAAGCAGTAGTGAAATCGTAATGCGTTGGTTCGCGTCATGTCTTCGGTCCGAGTTTTTTTCCTTTTTTTTTCAAGTTTCCTTCTTTTGTGTGAAAATCTATTATTTCGAGCCCTTTTTTTAGTATTTTTTAAAAATACGAAAATTTTAATTAAACTAATTGCACTCATGATTTTTTATTTACATATACAACCAGTTTTTCTATTATGTCAATAAGATCAAAAAATATTATTCATGTTTCATGCAATTTGTATCTAAATTAAAAAAAAGTTTTGTAGTTTTTTTATAATCATATACGTGGTTACACGTTTGTCAACAATCAACTACTTAATGCATTAATTTCTGTAAATTATATAATATATAATAAACCATACTATGCAGAAACTTTGAGGTATTTTAGTACACTTCCATTATGTCAGCTTAGACTAGAGCTTAGTTCTAGATATTTTATTGTTCAGAATAAATTAGACCTAGTTTTTTACATGAAAGCAATTGGCTCTAACTTGTTTTAGCCGATAATGATTCGAATGTACCTAAGCTCAACCAACTGCGAACAAACCCGGCTAAGCTTAGGTGTAACTCAGTCCTGCTTTTAGCCATAACACGTAACATAATATGGCTAAAGGTACTTCCATTCTTAATATTATTAGGAATGTGAGTACCTTGCAGTTTCAAAGACATTTGAAAAATACACCACTTCTCCACCAGACTGTAACATGCATAACATGGAATACATCGTTTCTAGTAAACAGGGTCTCTGGTTCTCTAGACTCAGCATAAGTCGGTAGTCGGATTGCTTCCTCTTTCGAGCCCACCTCTTCGTATTACAACCGTAATATACTATATTATATATATGTAGCTGCAGCATGGCTACGCTATGTAAAATAGCTGATTCCTTTATATAAGTGGGGGGCCTATGTCTAGTGGACTATTCTGGCTGATAAAAAAAATTAAAAAAAAAAACACAAATTAAGAAAAACCGACTGCGTAAAAAAGTTTACAGAAAAAGGAGAATATTTTTACACCCTACGTCGTAGTTAGGAGAATATTTTTACATTATAGGTTAAAATGGCACGCGCTAAATATAAAATAAACAAAAAAAAGCCTAAACAGCTTGATGAATTTTATATTTTGAGCGAGTCAAAAAAATAGACATACATAATGTATATATTATACATACCCTCGAAAAAAAAATAAGTCGGGTAAAATGAGAGTGAGTGGTATTTTGTTTCTAAGGATACTTTCCGACCGATTAACGATCAAGATGCTCCATGCGGGTATAATCAAAGCCGCGAGCTTTGATGTGGCCGCTGTTTACGTACTCCGCTCGTCTGTGTTTACCGTTAAACAAACTCATCTGGAGTAACGACGCCAACTCCAAAACTCACCAACACTCCAATACCGCCAACATACGATCTTTAGATATAAAAAAAAAACTAGATGCACCTTTGTAAAGGAGCAATGTTTCAAGAGTATAGATAAGAAATATTAAATAAAAAAATATTAAGTGTCAAAATAATAAAAAATACTTATCGTGTAGTGGCGGTGCCATAGTTGCCACGCTTGGCAAGTGGGTAGGCAGCCACAGTTTTTTTACTATTTTGAGTTGTTATCAGAAAGATGCTGCCGACCATCCTGTTTCAGTTTCTCTACTTTGTCTCTTACGACACTACCAGGATGATAAGGGGTAGTGGATATCTTACACCGCCACTACGTGCCATACTACATATTATGGTCGAATTTGAATTTGAATGTTTATAAATGATTTGAAGTTAGTGTTATGTTAACTTCGACATAGGTAATTAATTAAACGTTGTACAGAGTTTTATATTTGCATTTTACGTTTTAAACTAGGGTTTCACTGCAGTAGACAGGTAGGAGGTTGGTTCAAACATTGGTGTTTGGCGACTGCCGAAGGCCAGCGGTGATGGTGTTTGTTGCCACGTTCGTTCGGCTAAGCCGAATGTATATTGTGTGTAAACAAGATACTGTGGTTTCCACATATGTGAGCGGTAGGTGTTGTAAGCCGAAGCGATTTTAGAAATAATAAAATTGTAACGTTTGTCTTGAATTTCATTTTAAATTTGAGACTTTTTCGTTACCGAAACTATTTTTATTGATTTTGTAAAGGTATTAAAGAGGAATATTATTTTTGTTATTAGTATTTTTTCCAAATAATGTTCTGTAAAGACAAGTGAGTTCCAGTGATGTTCACAGAACACGCAGCGTGGAGTACAGGTCTGAATATTTAACTTATTAACATATAGTGGTAGAATCACGCTAAAGCTATATTAAGGAGACCTTTTTAATAGTAACGAGGCGTTCTATTTAAATCCTTAGGAGTTATAACGCATCTACAAATTTGACTCTTAATAGACAATATACGTTGGTCCAAATATATCGTCGCCTTAATTCTAATATGTCGTATCTTAATTTTGAACGAAACCGACATTTTTGTGTGCTTTGAATAAAGGCGACAAAGTACATCTTTCTCTTTCTTTACTGTGCAAAGTTTGTATGAAAAAGAGTGAGATAAAAGACTTGACGTAATGCGACGTATCTCGGATCGCTCGATCTTTCTGCGAATATGCATTAACTCATTGAGAGGTTGCTCTGCGATTTAAGTGATGTGTGATTGTTTTTAGAAGCTGCCAAGGTATGAAATCGTTTTTATTTTGTTATTTGACATTTGTTTACTGTTTTAAAACATACTTCATTTGTGGAAAACCACTTATAATATAATAATTACGAGTTTAAAAGTGCCTTTTGAGATACGACCTATTCGAATTTAAATTTTATAGTTTGCCTTAGAAATACGACCTATTCACATGGATTTTTGTCATTGCTTTTAGATATCATCAAAATGGATTTGTTGCAGTTAGATGATGAAGAACAGGAAATCCTTCAAATATTAGCAGAGAATGGAATAAAAGTAACGAATCCTAAGAAAAACCATCAGAGCCGGATACAAATTTTTGAGAACATTTTAGTATACAAACCAGACAACGAACTCCTTCATGCGATTAATATAGCAGCCGAATCTGATCCTTCCTTTAAGTGTCCAAAAGAATCCCCTTTAGAAGTTGATGTACAAGCGTCGAACTTGGGTTCATTACTTAGTGTTGCTACTGAAAATGGTCCTGAAATTGAATTTGAAGACACATTTTCTGTTACCGGGATTGATGAAGGTGCCCCTAAATCGAATGCTATTATTAAAATATGCGAAGCTTCGGAAGGTGTCAGTGAATTGGAAATCACGCATTTTACTACCAATGATAGTCAAACAATTGGAGTTGTAGAATTGGATGAATCTGGACTTGAAACAATTGACAATGAAGTACCAGAGAACAAGCCCAAACGCAGAAAACATGCTACTTGTACAGAATGGCAAAGAAATATAACGAAAGAAAAGAGAATGCGGGGAGAGAGTTATTCAGGATATTCCAGAAAGGAAAAACAGGTTACGACAGGTATACAAAGAAGTAAAAGGCAGATGGGTCCAACATGTGACTAACTTCTGCAAAAAATAGAGCCAAGCAGTTTTGCTCCGAGTTCGGAGAGCATGACAGACAATTTATTTTTGATAACTTTTGGAAGGAGCTCGATTGGTCAGGGAAGAAAAGTTTTGTTTCTTCAATGATAGACAGGATCCCAATCAAACAAAAGACAGTTGATTCACATAAAAGACAACAAAGCTATGTATACTATCTAAAACTAAATGAGGAAACAAACCAAGTCTGCAAAAAAATGTTTCTGAATACTTTAGGAATCAGAGAACGCATGATTCTTACCTGAATTTCAGAAGCAAAGTCGGGTATCTCATTAACTGAGACTACAAAGCAAAAAAGCAACAGAGGCAATAAAAGATCTACTGAGACACCAACCTCCAGTGGAATCAGTCAAGCTGAACATCTGCTAAAGTTTTTTAAAGAAATACCTAAGCTACCCTCACATTACTGTAGAAGTACATCAACGAAACTATATCTTGAACCAGTATTCGAAAGTAAAAGCCATGTATACAACATTTACAAGGAAAAATGCGCAAGCGATAAGGTGAAACCAATATCAGCTCGTTTTTTTAACAAGTTTGATGAACTGAACTTAAGCATTACCAAGCCAAAGAAGGATAGGTGTGATGTTTGCTGCGGTTATGAAACCAAAAACGTGACAGAAGAGGTTTACAAAAAACATATTGAGAAGAAAAAGGCTGCAAGACTAGAAAAAGAAGCTGATAAAAAGTTGGCTATTGATGGAAAAATTACGGTACTTACTGTAGATTTGCAGAGCGTAAAGGTTTGTCCCAAAGTTCAAGCTAGTGCTGTTTATTATAAGACAAAGCTTTGTTGTCATAATTTTACAGTTTACAACTTAGCAACTCACGAAGTAACCTGTTATTGGTGGCATGAATGTGAAGGCGAGCTACAAGCATCCAACTTCGCTTCTTGTCTAGTAGACTACATACAAGAGAAGGTTCCTAAAACTATTACACTAGTTAATTTTAGTGATGGATGTACAGCCCAGAATCGAAACTCTATCATGGCTAATGCTCTTCTTGTCTTGGCTATAAAAGAAAACATAGTAATCACACAAAAATATTTGGAAAAGGGCCATACCCAAATGGAGTGTGACTCAGTACATTCCGTTATTGAGATAAAACTAAAAAAAACGACATAAATCTACCTCATGAGTATGTTAAGCTTACTAAAGATGCAAAGAAGAAAATTCCTAAATATGACGCAAAATACCTTTCCCATGAGTTTTTCAAAGATTTTTCAGTACTGCAACGATACACCTCCATTCGACCTGGAAGAAAAGCTGGTGACCCAACTGTCACCGACATCCGGCAGTTGCGATATGAGCCAGATGGAAAAATTCAATTTAAACTTAATTTTTCGGATGATTTGCAAGAGTTGCCCATCAGATGGAAGCCTGGTACCTACACAATTAATCCAATGTACACAGGAAGAATACCACTGAAGCCAAGAAAATGGAAAGACCTCCAAGATCTAAAACACATTTTGCCAACAGACTGTCATTCTTTTTACGACAATTTGCCTAAGGCAACGACTGATTAAAGATTAAGTAAATATTTTATATATTAAATAAGTGAGAGTTAAAGTTGATGTTAGCATTTTTTTTTAATTTAAATTCCTACTAAGAATTTTATTTTTGATTGTTTTTTTAATTGTTTATAATAGAAGTTTATTTTTGTTTGATCCTTTTTGATGATTCTAATTTTAATGAAAGTGCCATTATTACTAATCTAAGTGATAAATTATCTTAATTGTAGACAAATAAAAAAAATATAATACAGTGGTGACTTTAATTTTTTTATGTTAATAACCATTATCTCAGTAAATTTATCATGCTAATAAAGCGTAACTCAGGTATTGAGCTACTTGGACAAGCAAATTGTATTACAATGTGAAAATAAGATATACTAGTATATTTTGATAGTTGGTTCAGAACATCACTTATAGTGTTTTCAAAGAATTATAATAATAAAAACAGTTTTTTGACCATCCTGAACAGTTGTCATTTCTGAGATACGCTTTATTAGAATTAAGGCGACGATATTGTCTATTAATAATCAAGGTCAGTCAATATAAGGCGGTGTCACAGCATCGGCTGACCATCAAGTAGACTGTGAACTCATTTGTCACATTTATTCTATAGGAAACAATCAAGCCTTGACTAATTTTTTTATTGTAAATAAGCTAACTAAATTCTAGTACTAACAGTTTGAAAGTAATTCTTAATTAATACTAGTTTGAAAAACTGAACATTTATATACTATATATTTTATATATATTTGATTTCAAGACAAGCGCTTGCTAAACTCAAACTATATAATATATAAACCCCAAACTCACTGTAAATTTCAAAGCACGAGAACAATTTGGGAAATTATAAACTACAATAATTTTAAGTGTTCGTTAATCACGTTGGCTGGTAAAGGAAAAATTTGGGAGAAAACCTGCATATCTGTTCTATCATATATTATCAAAATAATATTTTAAAGTAAAATCCGCCTACAAGAATTTTTTTTTATAGAAGAAGGGCCAAACGAGCATGCGGCTCACCTGATGTTAAGTGACTATCGCCGCCCATGATCAACCGCAACACCAGGGGAATTGCAGGTGCGTTGCCGGCCCTTTAGAAAGGAGTAAGCTCTTTTCTTGAAGGTCCCCAGGTCCAATCGGTCCGGGAAAATCGCCGGTAGTAAACTACTCCACAGAGAGGTTGTACGCGGAAGTAAACTCCTTTTGAAACGTACAGTGGTGGACCGCCAAGCATCCAGATGGTGTGGATGGTATCGGGACGTTTGCCGCGTAGTGCGTGTTCACGAAATTTGGCGGCTGGGATTAATCCGAACAATTCCTCAGAGCACTCTCCATGGTATATGCGAAAGAAAATGCAAAGAGATGCAACATCTCTTCGCAACGCCAGTGAATCGAGCCGATCGGAAAGCACTCGGTCGTCGACGATTCGAGCCGCTCTGCGCTGGATGCGGTCAAGTGGAAGGAGCTGGTACTGGGTAGCCCCAGCCCAGAGATGGGAACAGTATTCCATGTGCGGCCGAAACTGCGCCTTGTAAAGTTGCAGGCGGTGTGCCGGCATGAAATACTGTCCCGCTCTGCTGAGCACGCCAAGCTTTTTAGAGGCCAATTTGGCCTTCCCTTCCAAGTGACCACGAAACTGCACGTCACTCGATATGTCGACGCCGAGGATTCCGATACTGGCTGAGGCAACAAGGGGAGTGCCTTGAAACTGAGGGGATACGACAAAGGGGTTCTTTTTAGCGGTTAACGCGCAAACTTGTGTCTTCTTGGGGTTAAACTGGACTAGATTTAGTCGTCCCCAATCCGAGACTCTGTTCAGCAAAGACTCGACTTCAGACACAAGTTTGTCCCGCCACTCGGAGACGTTTTCCCAAGAAATATTGGCTCGGCCGGTGTAAAGAGCATCACCAGTGCTGTCATCTGCATAGCAATGAATGTTACGGGTTTGCAACATATCATTGATATGCAGAAGAAACAGCGTTGGCGATAGCACGCAGCCCTGTGGAACACCAGCATTAATTGGCTTGCAATCGGAGCTTGCACCGTCTACAACGACCTTGATGCTCCGATCTGCAAGAAAGCTGGTGATCCAATCGCACAATTTCTCGGGAAGCCCATAGGAAGGGTGCTTCGAAAGAAGCGCTTTGTGCCAAACCCGATCGAAGGCCTTCGCAATGTCCAAACTAACGGCCAATGCCTCCCCCTTGAACTCTATCCGCCTCCGCCCATCTGTGAGTTAGGTAGACCAGAAGATCACCAGCTGACCGACCACGGCGAAAACCGTATTGGCGGCCACTGTACACAATACGGGCAGCGTGGCAGACATACTTCTTTGCATTAAAACCCTCTCAGTTAAATCAGTTAATGAGTTAACGGCTGAACATAGTGGGTCTCCCGCGAAGATTCCTTTAGTTTGACACGAGGGTTAGCGTCCGCAGGTTTTTTCTTTTATAAGATAGGGTGACAAACGAGTACACAGTCCACCTAAGTGTTTGCTAAGTGGTTGCTGTGGCCCACAGACATCAACATCTATCTTCGATTACGAATCAAAATGCAGATGCATTGTCACCCGTGAGGATTAAAATGGAACGCCTCGTTTCCAGTAAAAAGGGACTGCGGATCTCTACACTTACCATCCGAAACACAGCAATATTAAACTGGTATTTTACGCTGGTATTGTGTGAGATCGTGGTCCTTCCCCGGTCGAGCCGACCCATTCGTGCTACAACTATACTTCTTTTTCTTTGAGCTTTCACTATATTTAAATTATTGTTTACTACAAAAACCATCTCAAATGTAATTCCAAAAATTGTGTCTCTACTCATTATTCGCACTTGGGCCAAGCGCGGACCGTACTCACTTCACTTTGAAGTGCTCTAGGGATATTTACGTAGTGTTTGTATATTTTCATATTTGCGGTGGCCCCGAACTTATAAACTGCTCGGTACTCGCTAAACTCTATAATTTACTTATTTATTGCTTTTCGTAGAAATTGGTTAAGAATTGCCGCTGTTACAAGAATATAAGCTATGATCTTTATGCTTCAGCGATCGTTATAAGATGATGTATGTTGGGAAAGATTTAATAAATACGTACAATATTTCTGTTATTTGACAGTTCTAATCACTAGACGTAGTTGAACAGAATTTTACGTTTTATCGGCTTTGTTGATACTCGATGCTTTGCAGCAACCATGAACATTGGAATGGAAAAATTGTATGCAATAATTTTATATTCGTTACAGCCTATTACAGTTTACTGCTGAACATAGACCTCCCCATAGACTGCCTCATAGGGGGATATTTGCCACAATTGCCACTACTGACAAACGTGTTGGTGACCTTAGTTTTTTATTTTTAGTCGTTATCAGGAAGACGCTGCTACCCTTCTCCTGATTAGTTTCCCTCTGTCGCCTCTTCTCTTACGACACCCACGGGTTGGTATGGGGTAGTTAATACTCTTACACCACCACTATATGGTATAATGTCATATGTAATCCAGGTTTACTCTTGCTTTAAATTAATTGAATATTTCTTAATTAATATAACCATTAATATGGCCGACTTTATGGAGAAAGAGGGACTCTTTATGATGAACTCTTTCTTCCAGAAGCGGCCCCATAGGAAGTGGACCTGGTCGAGCCCCGACGGTTCGACAAAAATGAGATCGACTTCATTATGACGACCAGACGCCAACTGTTCAGTGATGTCTCAGTGATCGCAAAGGTGAAAACTGGCAGCGATTACCGAATGGTTATTATAAAAAATAATAATTCTTGCTTTAAATTATTAAGTTTTAAGTATAGTGTGATTAATAAAATTAGTTAAGTAAAACGCAGTAAATGTTACCTATAGCAGTGACTTTTTCACTTGATAATTCTTGCTGAGAATAATGTGTACTTAGTAGTTTTAGATGTTATGGTGGGTTTAGTTCTGACAGTGACAGTACACGCAAATGTTATGGTGGGTTTAGTTCTGACAGTGACAGTACACGCAAATGTGGAAAAAAAGAAGATGCTCTTCAAACCAGACAATATATAACATCCACCATCAGTGTTATGTATTTTTCCCAGGGATTGCGGACTAATACGTTTTAATAAAAGAGCCTCCTCTTTTTTAAAACGGACGGAAGCGGACGGACAGAATCACAGACATATGGGAGAAAGCGTCAAAAGTGCGAAACATCTGTATCTACAATCACCAATCCGCGCAAGCGTTATGTTTAAGGCAAATCTAATATTTTTTTATTATATTTCATGAGGTACCTTGAGGATCACCAGCTGATTAGTGACCGCCAATACGGTTTTCGCTGTGGTCGGTCAGTTGGTGATCTTCTGGTCTACCTAACTCACAGATGGGCGGAGGCAGTATAGTCCAAGGGGGGAGGCATTGGCCGTTAGTTTGGACGTTGCGAAGGGCTTCGATCGGGTTTGGCACAAAGTGCTGACAGTACACGCAAATGTGGAAAAAAAGAAGATGCTCTTCAAACCAGACAATATATTACAACCACCATCAGTGTTATGTATGTATCCCAGGGATTGCGGACTGATACGTTTTAATAAAAGAGCCTCCTCTTTTTTAAAACGGACGGAAGCGGACGGACAGAATCACAGACATATGGGAGAAAGCGTCAAAAGTGCGAAACATCTGTATCTACAATCACCAATCCGCGCAAGCGTTATGTTTAAGGCAAATCTAATATTTTTTTATTATATTTCATGAGGTACCTTGAGGATCACCAGCTGATTAGTGACCGCCAATACGGTTTTCGCTGTGGTCGCTCAGTTGGTGATCTTCTGGTCTACCTAACTCACAGATGGGCGGAGGCAGTATAGTCCAAGGGGGAGGCATTGGCCGTTAGTTTGGACGTTGCGAAGGGCTTCGATCGGGTTTGGCACAAAGTGCTTCTTTCGAAGCTCCCTTCCTATGGGCTTCCCGGCTTGGCGTGCTCAGCAGAGCGGGACAGTATTTCATGCCGGCACACCGCCTGCAACTTTACAAGGCGCAGGTTCGGCCGCACATGGAATACTGTTCCCATCTCTAGGCTGGGGCTCCCCAGTACCAGCTCCTTCCACTTGACCGCATCCAGCGCAGACCGGCTCGAATCGTCGACGACCGAGTGCTTTCCGATCGGCTCGATTCACTGGCATTGCGAAGAGATGTTGCATCTCTTTGCATTTTCTTTCGCATATACCATGGAGAGTGCTCTGAGGAATTGTTCGGATTAATCCCAGCCGCCAAATTTCGTGAACGCACTACGGGGTAAACGTCCCGATACCATCCACACCATCTGGATGCTTGGCGGTCCACCACTGTACGTTTCAAAAGGAGTTTTCTTCCACGTACAACCTTTCTGTGGAATAGTTTACCACCGGCGATTTTTCCGGACCGATACGACCTGGGGACCTTCAAGAAAAGAGCTTACTCCTTTCTAAAGGGCCGGCAACGCACCTGCAATTCCCCTGGTATTGCGGTTGATCATGGGCGGCGGTAATCACTTAACATCAGGTGAGCCGCATGCTCGTTTGCCCCCTCTTCTATAAAAAAAATGGTGAGTGTAGAGAACCGAAGACCTTTTATTACCGAAAACGAGGCATTCCATCTTAGTCCTCAGTGGTGACAACGCATCTGCATTTCGATTCGTAACTGAGGCTAGATATGGATGTCTATGGGTCACAGAGTCCACCTGGACTGTGTGCTCGTTTGTCACCCTTGTACAATAAAAAAAAACAGCTGACGAACGAAGAAGCAAACAAGCTTATACCTACTAGGGAAGTGACACTACATACATACATATTCATACATATCCAGTAGTAGTATTTTACACACTGGTGACGAGGAGGATTACATTATTTATATATTGCTTTTTTAATAGGATAGGGTGATAAACGAGCACACGATGGTAAGTGGTTACTGTGACCCATAGACATCTACATCTATCCTCGATTACGAATCTAATTGCAGATACGTTGTCACCCGTGAGGACTAAGATGGAATGCCTCGTTTCCAGTAAAAAGGGTCTCCGGTTCTCTACACTCACCATACAAAGCACAGCAGCATTAAGTTACTATTTTACGCTGGTATTCTGTGAGAGCGTGGTCCTACCCCGGTCAAGCCGACCCATTCGTGCTACAACTATACTACTAATATAACTGCAGCATGGCCCTACCACGTATAAAAACTTTGTCTTACTTAATATTATTAGCTTCATCGTATAATGTTACAAATCATGAAGCAATATTTCTGAAACCGTACATATATAAATACATTTTAAATTATGCTAATATAAAACTTTGCGGCTTCTTAACATGGAATCCGTAAAACTGCTAAGTGGCATTAGTCCTTATAAAAGTTTTATGATATGTGTGCACAGGCTGCACTTTATGCTTGCAACATTCTGTGACAAAGTTACACTGTCTGAAAAATGTAGACGAAAGATATAAGAATTAGAAATCAGGGGCCATTAGTTATGAAAGATGACACATCACAAAAGTTGGTGTAGTGGATGTAAACGCGATTACTGATTATGAGGTCTGGGTTCCGGGTCAAAATCATCTGAGTTTTTCTGTCGAGAAATCCTCAGTAGCAGCTCGGAGTAAGGAAGTTGGCGGTGTTCCACACCCGAGCCTTGGACAAGCACGTACAGCTCGGCCCATCGGACTATGAGTGTGAGGGAATAGGGAGTGCATCTGTGCTTGCATATACTCTCGGGCACTATAATCACGTCCTGTGTAGGTGGCCGTTAAGACTGGCCTCCGAGACCAAAATATGGTCTAGAGGACATTCATTCATTCAACTTACTTTTTTATTTAAGTGGGGGTAAACGAGCATGTATGGTCTAGAGGACATTCATTCATTCAACTTACTTTTTATTTAAGTGGGGGTAAACGAGCATGTATGGTCTAGAGGACATTCATTCATCCAACTTACTTTTTTATTTAAGTGGGGGTAAACGAGCATGTATGGTCTAGAGGACATTCAATCATTCAACTTACTTTTTTATTTAAGTGGGGGTAAGCGAGCATGTATGGTATAGAGGACATTAATTTATTCAACTTACTTTTTTATTTAAGTGGGGGTAAACGAGCATGTATGGTCTAGAGGACATTCATTCATTCAACTTACTTTTTTATTTAAGTGGGGGTAAACGAGCATGTATGGTCTAGAGGACATTCATTCATTCAACTTACTTTTTATTTAAGTGGGGGTAAGCAAGCATGTATGGTATAGAGGACATTCATTCATTCAACTTACTTTTTTATTTAAATCAAATCAAATCAAATCAAATTCATTTATTTGCATAATACAGGTATAAGAGTTGTTACAAAAAAATTAGAATATGTACACTGTATTATTACCTTATGAGGTGTGCAAATACTTTACAATATAGTCTACGCATTACTAATTCAATAATGGTGCTTTGAAATAAAATTAAGAATAAGAAAAAAAATATTGTCAATAGTTGAGTCTATAGTGCTAATTGTTGTCATACTAAATACCTTGATATTATATAAACTCGAAATTAAATATTTTTGATAATAAGAATAATCAAATCCAAAAATGTTGTCATACAAAATTTAAGTTAAATTATAATTTAATATACTAATATTATTAAATTGTTACAATGTGTCACATACATTAGGTAAATGTATAAATTACTATTATTCAGTTATAATTAAATTCAAATTATTATTATTAAGTTACAATTAAATTAAAACTATTGCTATTAAATTATAATACTTTTGTCCTCTAGGTACTCTTTGACTTTATAATAACATTTATTAATCAGAAATTTGTGTAATATCGTCTTAAATCGTGAGATAGGCAACTTTCTGACATCATCTGGTAGTTTGTTGTGAATCAGTGATGCCATACAAAGAATACTTTTATTGAGTAGTGCTGTATCTCCATACGGTATTTCTATGTCTAATCTTTTTTTGTCGCGTAACTGTCTATAGTAGCTCTTAAAAGCAGTCTTGTAAAAATTTGGATTTGATTTCACAAATAGATTTATTTCGTAGATATATATCGAAGGCAATGTCAGAATTTTTAAGTGTCTAAAATATGGTTGACAGCTTGTAGTATTATCCAGATGGCACATTGCTCTGATGCATTTCTTTTGAGCTTTGAATGCAGATTCTTTATTTACCGAGTTGCCCCAAAATATTACACCATATCTTAGGATAGGTGCAACAAGTCCGTGATAGGCTAATAAAACGGCTTCTTTATTGACAATCTTGGAGAGTTTGTAAAGAGCAAACGAGGATTGATTAACTTTTTTGCAGACATTATCTAGATGTGTTTTCCATGATAGGTCATAGTCAATATTAATTCCTAGAAATTTTATATTTGTCACTGGATATACTGTATTGCCTTGGTAACTTACATGTATAGTTATGGGTTGTGTTCTTTGATAAAAGTGCATTATTTTTGTTTTGTCCATATTTATTTTAAGATTGTTTTTTAGGAACCATTGAATTATTGTATTTAATGTTTTATTGATTTCATTTTCGTAATTGTCTTGCCTATCACATTTTATCATTACTGTGCTATCATCTGCAAAAAGTACCATTGGATGTTCAATATGTCTAGGGAGATCATTTATATATACCAGAAATAGTGAGGGACCTAGGACACTCCCTTGTGGGACTCCGAATTTTATGGTTCTAGTGTTAGATCTATATTTGATTTCATTTCGTGTTTTCTGGCATATTTGTGTAATTTCTGTTATTTGTTTTCTATTGAACATATAAGAAGAAATGAGGTCTAGCGCATTACCTCTTATGCCATACCAGCTAAGTTTCTGAATAAGTATCTTATGGTCAACACGGTCAAAAGCCTTGCTCATATCCATAAAGACAGCACATATCGGATTTCTTTTATCCATGCGGATTAAAATCGTTTTAATTAAGTCATAAATAGCTGTATTTATAGATTTACCCTTGCGAAATCCTTTTTGTTCATTTACCAAAATATTATACTTTTCTAAATAACTGTATAGTCGATTATATATTACTTTTTTCAAATAATTTGGAAAAAATAGATATCAGTGTTATCGGTCTATAGTTTCCCATATTTTTTTGTCATCTTTTTTTGTGGAGTGGAATAACAATAGAAGTTTTAAGTTTTTCGGGGTATATTCCCTTAGAAATGCATAAATTTATTATGTAGCATAAGTGAGAAGCGATTGACGAGGACACATACTTTACAACTTTAGTGCAAACACCATCGTAACCCACACTTTGAGTATTTTTCAGTTGTTTTATTTCTCTATCCACCTCCATAGGTATTGTAGGTACAAGAAAAACTGAATTTACGTTAGTATTAATTTTGGGATTTGAATGTGTTAGGTCGTTATTTTTTGATTTATTTTTATGCTCCCATTCTTTTATTTGGTCAATAAAAAAGTCGTTAAAGTGATTCGCAATAGATATAGGATCTCTAATTTTGATATCGTCGTTAAATATTTCCGTAATAGGCTCTTTGGGAAATTTAAATTTAGTCTTGTTTATAACTGACCATGTTGCTTTTGATTTATTTTGGGATGTACTTATGTAGTAGTTATTTTGTGACTTTTGCGTTAGTGATATAATTTTTTTAAACTTAGAGGCGTATTGCTTGAATTTGTGTTTATTTGATCTTGTTGGATGAGTCCTATACTGCCATAATAATTTTCTTTTCATTTTACTACAAATTTTGATACCTTTTGATATCCATTTAGACTTTTTATGTAACGTTCTAGTTATTATTTTGTATGGAAAACATAGATTATAAAAGCAAAGAAAGAGGTCTAGAAAACGATTATAAGCTTCGTTAGGGTCGTTTGTGTGATAAATATTAGAAAAAGTTAAGTTGTTCATACAATTTTTGAATTTTGTGAGATTTTCCTTACTATAATTACGTCTTTTAATACGCCAAGATTTTATCACGCATGTTTTTTTGACTGGACATTGTAAAATTTGAGCTGTGTGATCTGATAGTCCAAATTCAATAACTTCACTTTTACATTTATGAATACTGTGAGCAAAGTTATCAAGACATGTGTTACTACTAAGTCTAGTAGGCTCTTTAATTTCTAGTTTTAAATTATGACTTTGTAAAATATATTCAAAATCTAGCGCTCGCCGGTTTCTTTTCAGTATATTTATATTAAAGTCGCCGCATAAAACAATTTTCTTGTTAGTATTATCACATATTTGGCGTAATAACATGTCTAAATTATTGAAAAATACGTTTATACAAGAATTAGGCACCCTGTATATACAAACTATTATCAGTCCATGAAGACTTCTATAGCGCTACATTCTATTACGCCTTTAACTGTACAATTAGTTTTTAATACTTTATATTGATGACCAATTCTAGTTAATATACAGACACCTCCTCTCTTTATGTCTCTTGAGAAACTTGTTGCTAGGCGGAAATTGGGTATATCAAGTATGCTCTCTTGGTCTGGTATCATAAAATGTTCGGTTAAACATATTACGTCTACAAATTTGTTATTTTGTGCCAACTCTTCTAAATGTACCGTCAGAGTGTCAGATTTATTTATAAGACCTGCTATATTTTGGTGTAAAATTCGAATATTATTATAAAAGAAAAAACTGTGAGCTTTGTCCGCTTGTGTCACTGGGTAGGTCAGGGAATAATTCTAAGTCAATTTTAATTCTTTTCATTATATTTTTAAATATGCATTGAATTCCTGCTGTATTTATTTTGCCTGATTTGTATGAAAACATGTCAAGTGTAAGGTCATAGTTGGAGTCAAAAAAGTACGCATATTTATGGTATTGTAGGTCCATACAGAGCAGACTATTAAACATTTCAACCTTAAAGTTATGTATTGGTGCTCCCCGTATATACGTGGGTGTGCATATTATTATATTTGTATGGGCCACCTGTGTTAAACTATCGTTAATTTCTTTTACTAAATTAATATAATTGTCGTTACGTTTAAAGTCTGTCTCCCCTAATAAAATTATACAATAATCGTTCATATTAAAATATCTTAATTTTGATTTAATACCAGCTAAAAGTCGTTTTATATTACAATTTGGTGAAGAGTAATTACAGTATATAAAGTCACTTGCAAAATTGTCTTCAATAGCCTGTAGTATGCCTCTTCGAGTGCTGTTGCTTAGTACGCACAATTTTCTATGTTTGATATCTTTACGAACATCCGTTGTAGTAACTTTCTTCAAAGGTGCGATGTCCTTCTCTGGTGTTGAGATTTTTTTCAGTGGAGATAATTTTGTGTCATTTAGTTGCATATTCAGTTTAGATATTTGCGGCTGTGTTTTCAGATTCTGTGTCGAACAATCTTCGTTTATTGGCTCTGGAATCCTTTCAGCCTCAGGTGTATGTTCGGCTGATTTAACTGTCGCTTCATTATTCATAATTCGTGCTGAAGGAGCCATTACCTGTATGCTTTTTGTTACAGGTGTTACATCGATATTTCGGGTTTGTTTGCATTTTAAGTGTATGTTATTTTTTGTGTAAGTTTTTTATTCTCTGTAAGGTTTAAGCTTTTATAGGTTTCTACGATCTTCAAATATTTCTGTAAATCTGATTTCAGACGAAAATTCTCGCTATTCAGATTTTCAATCTCATGATGTGCTATTTGTAAATCGTCAGACAATTTTGTAATTTTTTTCGTTCAATTCGAGTATGGTTTGACTAAGATTTAGCGTAGTGTTAGGCAAACTTGAAATAGTTGTATCAAAAAGTGCCGAATTATCTGAGTCTACATCGGTTAATGAATTTCTTCGGTATTGGATACGGTATGTTATATTGTCACATTCCATCTTATGTAATATATTTTTAACCAGATTTTTTTGTTTGTACATAGAAAGTAGTCAGAGTAGTCTCAAAGGACTAGCATCCAATTTAAAACTTGTTATCTGTGCGGTTTTCGAACGACGAATAATCTGTTAGAGATTATGCGTTGATCTGTGATATGAGTCAGCTGTTCTTTGTTTACATAGAAATATTTGTCGACCTTAAAATTCACAACATATGTTCTAAATTCTTTGGGACATTGTTTTATATCATTATTATATTGTTAATAGTTTAATGAAAACCTGCAATTCTTATGTCGTCCAATTACTTCTTTCTATTAAATATGGTTTTGATGCACTTTATCACTTTTTTTTTTGCTAATAAAATACTCCCAACTTTGTTACACACAAAAATGAAAATAAGTCCGGTCACACTAATCACTTTTACTGGACAACGTTTGTAATTTTTATTTACACAATTATAAACTAACTTAACTGTGAAACAACAGAAATAAATTACATCTATTATTTTTTTAAATTGATAATATTACGGAGACGATGTTAACGTGACAGCAACGTTTTTTTTGGTAAGTGGAAAGGTTAAGTGGGGGTAAACGAGCATGTATGGTCTAGAGGACATTCATTCATTCAACTTACTTTTTATTTAAGTGGGGGTAAGCAAGCATGTATGGTATAGAGGACATTCATTCATTCAACTTACTTTTTTATTTAAGTGGGGTAAACGAGCATGTATGGTCTAGAGGACATTCATTCATTCAACTTACTTTTTATTTAAGTGGGGGTAAGCGAGCATGTATGGTCTAGAGGATATCATTCATTCATTCAACTTAATTTTTTATTTAAGTGGGGGTAAACGAGCATGTATGGTCTAGAGGACATTCATTCATTCAACTTACTTTTTTATTTAAGTGGGGGTAAACGAGCATGTATGGTCTAGAGGACATTCATTCATTCAACTTACTTTTTATTTAAGCGGGGGTAAACGAGCATGCGGTTCACTTGTTGATAAGTGACTACCGCTTCCCATGAACGACTGTAACACCAGGGGAATTGCAGGTGCGTTGCCGATCCTTTAAAATAGAATAGACTGTTTTCTCTAAGATTCCTTAGTCGTATTTGTCTGGGAAAATCTCTGGTGTAATCAACAAAGAAGTTGCGCGAGGAATAAAACTTCTAGTAAATCGCACAGTAGTGGATCGCCAATCATCATGACGGTATGGTACAAAGCACTTGTTAAGAAAAATAAAAGATTTTGGATGCGAGGTAATTGTTGATTTAATTTCTTGAGTAATATATAGTCAAGAGCCAGGAAACGCGAAACACAAGTTTCTGTAGGAGTATTACACAATTTTGATGATTGTTTTAACATCAAAGCTGACCCGTAGTGGACCGTTCCAATAACATTATTTAGCAATATCGGATATGATTCAATGGTTATTTTTCCAACTGCGAACATTACTAAATCGTAAATCTGTCAATACAGTCCCAAATTCAGCGGCATTGATGAATGCTTCCGTGGGATCAAAGAAATGGCGCCGGATGCGTTTGAAACCATCGAAGATGATCTATCCGAGTCAAGATTTGCGGGATGCATCTTTAAATGCTATGGAAATGAAAATATGAAATGTTTACGTTTACAGACTGAAATAATTTTGTTTGGCATAGCTTCGAATGTTTTAAAATTTATAACTTTATGTGTAAATTCTAAAAAGTAAAGTTACGGCCATTATACGTCCTGGACGCAGGACTTTGCTCTTTTTTGAGAGGGATTAGGGCAAGGAAGTGTCCGCTGCGTTTCACCAATACATGTTGGCAGTCTATACATGTCTTTGAATTGTTTGGTTTCTCAGACATGCACGTATCTTGATGATGTTTTTCTTTCCACATGTGAAAATTCTATTGTGGAGTTAACTTATTTTCAAAAAAATATACATTTGTACGAAGATAGAATTAACTTATACTACTATACTTGTCTGTTAACGTGGCCTTATTTAGAATTAATTAGTCAAAGAGCATGCATATTATTAATAATAAATAAATTTTTCGATTTCTAAAAAGCTAAGGTTTTTTTTGTTAAATTATCGGCTAGCTCACTCCTGATATTGCTGTCCGAAGATTAGTCCAGATGCACATACAGACAGACGGACAAAAATTGTATAAATCGCCCAATAAAGGATAGTTATTTCGATATTATAGACAGATACTACAATTATATATATATATATATACATATGTATATATATATATATATATATATATATATATACATATGTATATAGATTAATTAGACTGCCTCGTTGGTCTAGTGGCTGCTGACAATGTAGTCCAGGGTGAGGCTAAAATTATCAGTTATTAGGTGTTTGTGTTAATTCTAAGTAGCAGGTCAGAGACAGGAAGTTGGCGGTGGTTTACTCCAATGCCTAAGAAATCATATAAAGCTGTAGGTCAGGCGAATGATTTCTCTCCGGTTAAGTCAGATTACAGTTTAATGGAACTATGAGAGAGAGGGAATAGAGAGTGTACCTGTGCTTGTTCATAAATTCCAGTCCACTATAATCGTTCTTGTGTATAATATGGCAAGTCTCCGTTAAGACTGGCCACCGTGACTAAAATCCGTGTCCTTCACACTACTATAGAGTAAAAACAAAAAAAAAACTATATATATATAGTTATTACTCCACCGAAGTTTTCTATGGTAATGGTGTTTTTCTTTTTGTGGCATGTGGTTCGAAGGCAAAGTGGAGGTCTACGATGGAGCAAGTTTGCCCAAGAGATGTCTGTTAACACGCACCTAGAAGAGGTTAAAGTTATATGCACTTGGAAAAACAAACGCTGTCAGGGCACTTCACTCCTTGGCTGTGCGCTTTATTAAAGATGACTTATAGAGCTTAATGGGAATATTCGGAATATTAGCCAAGTGTGGATAGTAACTTGCAGTACTTCAAAAGGAGAATGGAAATATGGTACAGCTTACGAAGCTCATGGGCACACTTTCCGAAGTACAATCTGTATAAGACCGTCAAACGAGTAACTTGGCGGCAGTGAGCTATGCTGTGAAGATTGGCTTTTACCAGCTTTTTGTCGCCGATAAGCCTCTTGGCTCTGCATTGCACTGAGTCGAGTGCGGCAAATTGATATTTTATTGAGCCATCATAAAGGTGACTACAATCGTACATACGTCTTCGAATTTACGGTTATATAAATTTACCCTGTTTAAAGTACCCAGTTTTATGGTTGCAGTTTTGCCCTTGACTCAATGTAAGCGTTAAAGTTAAGGTTAGCACTCAACTGTATGCCAAGAAGCTCGAGATGATCAGCAACTTCCACAAATGTACCTCGGGAAGTAGGAGTCAGATCAAATGGACTCCGTGTTGCGTAGAGCAGAGAGGCTTGCGTTTTGGCGACGTTGAAACTGAACAGATTATCGTCACCCCATCGGGAGACAAGACTTAAAGGTCACATTTATCCGCTCCACCATGGCCTCTCTAAATGAACATATTACTGCTACTTTCTCTTTTGCACTGAATATGAATCTCTCGGAGACTGTACTTCATCTGTATACCCAAAAATACCTGGTAGTAGTAAGTCATTGAAGTGCAGCAAAAAATGGTTGCAGAGAGAGCAGCAGAAACTCCGGTATTAATATGCAATAGATCAAAAGAGACCGTTTACTCAAAAAGTCAAATATCCAGTTGCAAAGTTCGGTGGGGATGTCGTAAGCTGGAAGCTTAGTCAGCAGACTTGCGTACCAAACCTTGCTAAAAGCCCTCAAACTGTCGAGTGAAACTGCGAGAGTTGCACCGTTCTTCTCGATGACCCCGCTTTACAAGCACGTGTCATACACAAGAAGATCTCCAGTAGACCATCCCCGGCGGAAGCCACATTAATGGTCACTGAAAAGATCATTTGTTTCAAGGTATGTCAGCAGTTTACTGTTCAATACCTTTTCCATAACTTCACAAAGTATGGAGGTGATGGCGATTGGTCGATAATTACAGGGAATGGCACGACTTCTTGGGCACTGGTTGCACTTGGGCAAACTTCTAAGTTTTTGACACAGTTGGAATTTTAAGAGAGAGGCGGACTGGTTTATGGTTAAATTAATTAATTTTATTTCCTTTTTCTGCCTTTTAGTCCGCAGTGCCTTCGCTGCTGAGTTCTAATATAAAGGTTATAGAGAGCTGGTATAATGATGGTTGAGGGGCATTCCATCCTAATCCTCGAAGGTTGTGAATGCCTTCTTATTTGAAGTTGGTTGCATTTGTCGTTGTTATATTAGTCACTTACCATCAAGTTAACTGTAATACATTTTATCACTTCAATAAAAAAAGTCAAAAATCATTATGTCTCCATCATTATAACAGTTAAAAGACCACAATCTCATAAATATTATTGTACATCTTTTTAAATATCAGTTATGTATTTTAATCACCGATGATATAATTTCAGCTGCCATCAAAAATACTGAAATATAATAAACAACCTTGATTCCGGAAACCGTTGTTTACGTGAAACAGGTGTAATTTAATCATTACAGGAAGTGGCTGGGCGGCGGCGGGAGTTCTACTGTTTACAAGTTTACCTTCCTCGCCTTTGAT